ACAGAGACCCATAGACTCACACAGAGACCAATAGACTCACACAGAGACCCATAGACTCACACAGAGACCCATAGACTCACACAAAGACCCATAGACTCACACATAGACCCATAGACTCACACAGAGAGACCCATAGACTCACACAGAGACCCGTAGACTCGCACAGAGACCCATAGACTCACACAGAGACCCGTAGACTCACACAGAGACACATAGACTCGCACAGAGACCCATAGACTCGCACAGAGACCCATAGACTCACACAGAGACCCGTAGACTCGCACAGAGACCCATAGACTCACACAGAGACCCGTAGACTCACACAGAGACACATAGACTCGCACAGAGACCCATAGACTCGCACAGAGACCCATAGACTCACACAGAGACCCGTAGACTCGCACAGAGACCCATAGACTCACACAGAGACCCGTAGACTCACACAGAGACACATAGACTCGCACAGAGACCCATCGTTTGTTGTCCTTTCCCCGCACCTCCGATTAGCACGGTTGGCTACGTACGGTGCAAAAGAAGATCAAGATAGTTGAACACATTCGGGAATAATAGCACTGTGCGTGTTGCCTTAAAAAGATTAATAAAAATAAATACGTGACGTTTCAAGCAATGGTCCTGCTTCATGACACACCTTTTAATTATCGGAGCTGGAATTTTTCTTCGCCAAATTAATTGCCAAACCAAAATGCATTGTCGCGGTGCGTCTGCTTTCGTGCGTTGTGTGCAGCCATCCCATTCTGTTCTTGCTCGCGATGATGGCAGCAGCAGCAGCAGCGAGATGATCAGGGGCTTCATGCCAATGTCGAGGCCTCCTGCTGCTGCTGCTGCTGGCCATGACGAGAGAGAGGGCTACAGTAGAGACCGACAGACGGTCCCGTGTCGTTTTTCGTGCAGTCATTGATGACCGGGCCCTGAGGGTCCCGCCGTTGTCACCGGCGTGGAGAGGTTTGGTCGAACAACGGCCAACGAACCGAAACAGCGTGGGGAGGCTTATCGACCAGCAGTGGATTGACGAAGAGCTGTGTAACAAAGGTAGTGGAAGCGACTTCTGGAATCCGGTCTTTATTTGTCTTTCGTTCACAACACTCCCATCTTACTCCTTCACGCTGCTGACAGACAGCGTGAGAGGGAGAGAGAGAGAGAGACACGCGCGGCCACGTGGCAGCCTGGACCACGTGGCAGCCTGGACCACGTGGCAGCCTGGACCACGTGGCAGCCTGGACCACGTGGCAGCCTGGACCACGTGGCAGCCTGGACCCCGCGCCAGCGTGGCCTCACCCTCCGTTCGTTCCAGATCTGACCACGTGTTGTCCCCTTTAAATACCCGGGTCACGTGCTACCTTTCCACCAATCCTGGTTAACCTCTATGGAATCTTCTAGACTCCATCGTACGTTTCCAGGACCGCGCCCCTGACTCGTCCCCCCATTGGCTGTGGCTACAGCCAGCAGAACCAATCCTCTACTTACAGATGTCCCCTTCCCATGACGTCAGGGCCACGCCCCTAGACTTCCTCCCATTGGCTATGGGCCAGGACCGGTAGAGCCAATCATCGTAACGAGGTGTGATGCATCAACAACCCGGATATATCCTCACATAACCCCCCCCCTCAAAAAAAAACTCCTTTGTGAATACTATTGGTCGCGAAAGCCGACATGTTAAACAAAACGAGTGTGTGTGTGTTGTCAATTTGCCATCATAGTCGGTCGGTAGTTTGTGGTGTCTCTCTTCCAGTGCAGAGGAAGTGCAAGATTTTGCTGGCTGTGGTGCGATTTCCACAAATACATTTCTTCGTTTCACAACTTCGCTCAGGGCCTCAATAGGGACGATGACACATTTCAAAACACGAGACCAGACTCGGCACCTGGTTCAAGGATGATCTTCGCGTGCCTGGGTCCCAAGGGTAACTCAGCGACGCGCACTCCCATGAGCTCATCTCGCTGACACTGCTCATCGAGTACAGCGCGTTGCAGAGGTCGCAACCGGGTACCCGATACCCGTACCCTACCCGATACCCGGCTACCCGTATCCGGCCGGGCACGGGTACCCGTTTGCGACCCTGGTGCGGCCGGGTACGGGTAGGCCGTGAGTCACTGGTGAGTCACCGTTTGTCACTCATTTCCCGACGTCTTGTCTCTTCTCACAATTCAAGTTCCTAGAATCAACCCACCCGCGCCTGCAACATGGCTTCATCCCAGAGGTCGCAATCAGGTACCCGATACCCGTACCCTACCCGTACCCGGCCGGGTACGGGTAGAGTACGGGTACGGCCGGGTACGGATACGGGTACCCGTTTGCGACCCTGGTGCGGCCGGGTACGGGTAAGGAATCAAAACCCGTTTGTGACCTCTGGCGCGTTGCGCAAGGCGGTAGCCATGGAGTCAACATTGGGGGGGGACCAAATCTTCCAGGGGGTCTGGGGGTCCCAACCCAAAAAAAATCTAAATTTGAAAACTCATTTCCTGCCTAAAATAA